CCACAACTATTGTAATGCAGCTGCTGGCCACATAGTGGACAACAAGTACAGATTCTTTGCACCAAGAGCCAAACTCTGAGCACTAAGAGGCTTCAGAAGTGGAGATGTTTGCTGTGTGTTTTTGTGAAAAAGGAAATAGTGCCAGCAAAGCATGTAATGTTATTCAGCCTTGTTGGCTTTTACTTTAAACTATAGGATGTGTTTTTATTCAGCCTGTTTGGCTTTTAGTTTGATTTTGACATTTTCCAATACAGTTTGATTTGATATGTTCCAATACAGTTTATCTTCCTGCAGCCAATTTGGCAACTGGTTGAAATTTCTAGAGCATTAGTGCAGGGGCCATTGTCAAGGAGTCATTGCACCTCAGAAATCATGAATTTCCACATGTAGTGGGTTTATACTTAACCCTGCTGTGTGCGCACACCCAGCAATGGCACAATGGAACGTAGAAGACATTGCCCAAGAGGTGGAGAGCTTGCAAACAATAGTGGCCATGAACAAAGGATCCAAGGTGAAAGAATCTATGGTCAAGTCTTTAGTTGCCAAGCTCCAGGCAATCGACTCAGTACCACCTTCAGCCTATGTGAGGATCATGGAGTGCTTCAATGAGTCTTCTTTACCAGAAGACATGAAGAAGAGCTGTCAGATGCTTTGGAAGAAGCTTGTGCAGAGACCCTTGGAGGGATCTTTGAGGTTGCAGACTTGTCCCCAGTCTATGACCACAGTCTACAACTACCTGTCCAAGCTAGAGTGGAGCAAGATCCAGGACCTCACCTTCACAGAAGCTTGCTCTTTGATGGTTTCTAGAATGAAGAAATGTGGCTTGAAGTCTATGAAGGAGAAGACCAAAAAGCATTGCGCTGCTTTCTTAGTACACCTTCAGGAGAAGCAGGGACACCAAGTTCCAACAGCTGGTGAGTTCTACAAATTGGCAGAGACTGTCAAGGTTGCTTTCAAGGCATCAGAGCAGAGGCCTTTGGTTGGAAGCTTGAACAGGTACCCTTGCACACCTCAAGAACTTGGGGAGGACACCTGCAAGTTTTCTGTTTTGTTTATTTCCTTTTTAATCAGCTGAGGTAGAGGTGACCAGTTGTATTTTTTGTTGCTGAGGCCCACCATTGAAACAATGTAGTTGAAGGTCATTTCCAGTATGAGTTGGCTTGAGTTCAGTCTTTTCACATTTCCAGGACTTCTTGCAGAAGGCATATGGGGATGACCCACCAGCCAAGATTCCACCAGAGGTTGCAGGTGCTGTGCTATGTGTTGCTGGCAACAAAGGTGTGAGGACTTCACACAAAACTTTGACCACTGCAGGCAGCTCAAAGGCACCCTCACCTTGTCCAGACTTCACCCAGTTCAAAGGCTTGATGAATATGATGGAGGGGATTGGCAGTATGCTCTTGAAGGCAAAAGAGTTGGATCGCTTTCACATGGCACAGAAACAAAGCTTGGCAAAGACTTCAAGTTCTGAGAGCTTGACCCATAATGACTTTCAATGCAGTCAAGCAACAACAACTTCTACACCTTTGCCTTTGACCATGCCCCAAGAGCCTGAGAAGCCAGAGCCAGAAAAAGCTGAAAGTGGTGGTGGTGGTGCTTGCAAGGAGAATGACAAGCAGGCAGAGAAGCCACTCAAGGGTTTGGAAGAATATGAGCAAGGAGCATTTGAGCTTTTGAATGGCAGGGCTCAGAACAAGAAATGCATGAGAAGGCCATGTGCTTCCTCAGAGGTGCTCAGTGGGAAGAATGCCAAGACTGAAGGCAAGAAAGAAAAGGGTCAGCAGACTCCAAAAGTGGAGCCACCAAAGAAAGTTCAAAAGCAACAGGGATGGGGTTGCTTGAGATGTAGAGGCAACATCAATGGATGCAGCACTTGCTCCAAGGAAAGCTTTGGAGGGATAAAATTCTACAGCAGAGCTGAATGGGTGCGATACAGCCAAAAGAACCTTGCAAAAGGCAAGTGGCAACATACTCTCTACAAGAGAGGTTGGGTTTCATCTTGGGAATGCCTAAGATGCATCTTTGGAGCAATGGGGTGCCCTGTGAAAAAGACAAAAAAGCTTGCCTGATCAGCAGGATTGTTGTTTTCATGTTTTGTCAGCCAATTTGGCTTTGCAGCTGGTTGTTTCAGCCATGTTGAGGTGTTTTTCTCAGCCACCTTTTTGGCTTTTTTTGTTTGGCTTTGGTTGGTTTGGAAAGTCAGAGCCATTTGTAGATGCTGCTCACTATTGTTTCAATAAGCCACAGAGAGTATTTTAAGTTTGTTTGCCAACCCCACACACAGCTTTCATCTACAGAAGCTGTTCATCAGTTCCCAACAAACAGCTTTCAAGGGAAAACATGCCAAGCAGAGATGACTCACCACTTCATGCCATGATGGTTTCCTCTTCCTCTTTGTCTGTGCAAAGCCTAAGGGCCAGGGTTCCATTTGTGAGCCAGTCTGCTTTAACAAGCATCCTTGACATTGTTGACAAGGAAGGTGTGCCAGAGCAGCGCAAGAGGAAGCACATCTATGATTCAACCAGGCGAATGCTTGAGAGAATGTGTTTGTATGGACCATTAGTCATCACAGCTGTTGCTCACACTTTGTCAGATCAGGCGGTGGAGATCACATATATATATTTCTTGTCATTGTTGTCCAATACAAGCCCTACTCTTGGCTTTTGTGTTCTTTGATTTTGTCATTGCTTTAGCTGCTTTTTCTACTACAAAATCCATAAACAAAATGCAAAAAACATTGATTAAAAATAAACAACATAACTATTTATAACTAGTTAGTAAAAGTTAGCTAATTGACATAATTATGTTAACTAGTTAGTAAAAGCCAGCCCATCTAAGTACCTGAGTACCTCAAGGACCAGCGCTTGGAGGCTGCAGAGGTCAAACAATGACCAGTTTCTTGACCTAAAAGAAGGCGGCGTTCGCAGAGCCGAAGAAGCGAGGTTTGGACCCTCTTGCCACTAGTGCTGGGCGGCGCTTGCTTGGTCATTTGATCTTGCGGCAAGGACCCTTCACCCAGCACCAGAGACAGCGATTGAAGGCGGTGACCAACGGCTCCATCGATTACAAGGACATCGAAGCGGCAATCCA